CCTTCCGGACAAGACAATATCCCTAGGAGCCATGAGGGGTGTCGACGGAAACCTAATATCCGTCCGGATAATAGGTCAGCAGTAGTTCCAACAGGGAAGGTGCATGATCCTCCACATCTGGAATCTGCGTAGGCAAAGTAACCAGCTGTGTAAGACCATATGCCAAGGCAAGTCATAAACAAATCTCCCCACATGATCAGTTAAATGTGAGCAGGGCAGCTTGAGCACCCATGCTCACAACAGGTAGCTTGGGCGTGGGTGCTCAGCGAAGGATTCCTATATAGATTCCGCTACCATATTTTTAAGGGGGTGGGGATTGGACCTCCGACTACCTACACTTCACAAGCGAAACGCAGAAGTAAACTTTTACTTCACGCTGGTATTCTGTGAGGTCGTGATACTACCCTGATTCGAGCTGGCCCATCCATGCGATTGCAAAAGCTGCCGTGTGACTTTACCACTGTTAAAACGTAAACATGGAATAAATTCTATTTACTTTTTTTCTGCCCATCATAAATAAACAACTGATACACAAGAATAAATTATTTTCTTCGTTATGAGACAAGTCCGGTCTTAACGAATAAACCAAACACAATAACTGCCTTTCTTTCTTCAAAACTTCTCTAATACTTTCACGTTTATCGTAAACGTCAAAATCCCACCAGATACCCTGATCGCGACTGAAAAAACGTATCACTTAAAGGCAGATAGTTGATGATAAGTATGCCCACATGTGGCGATGCCGCATAAGCACCTCACAACGTGAATCTACCTGTCCTATTTATAACTGCCTTTACGTTTTACGGAATTAACCGGTTAATTTGGGTGTCAAAACCATTAAGTAACCGGTAACCTTTATCGATTAGGTTTAATAAAAACCGGTTAATTTTTTAACCGGTTATTGAAGGAGCGATAAATTTACCGGTAATTAATCGAAATTAACCGCTCCTTTTAAACCGGTTCCGAGCCCTGGTAACTAGTCTATCTCTTCTTCCAGCTCCACGATCTTCTCGTCAGTCCTCAGGGTGCGTGCGTTGTATGTTGCCAGGTCGAGTCGTCTTAGGTGGCAACCGAACCTCCACCGCAGATTCTTAGCACCCCCTACCCCGCTGTTACCATGGTCGCCACCGTAGCCAGGAATAGCGGGGCCGCCGGGGACTGGGGGCCGTTTCTATGTTACTCTCTTAATGGGGGGTATTTACCATAGTTGCCACACTTGGCAAGCGGGTTGGCAACCGCAGTTTTTTTATTGTAAGTTTGTTGTTATCAGGAAGATGCTGCTGCCCATCTCCTACCTGTTTCCCTTTGTCGCCTTTTACGACACCCACGGGAAGATATGGGGTAGTGGATATTCTTAACCACCACTACACGGCATAAGTGCTATAAATATAAGTGCAATAAAGCATCCGAAGCGTCAGAAATGAAAAAAGTTAAAATTTAACACAGTTTAACCAAAAAGACTTTAAAAAAGTTGTTGTAACTAGGATTAAGAAAGAAATGCTTAACTGGTTTAGTCGTGTAGAAACAACGAACAAAAAAAAAAGTGACAAATTCATGTTGCAAAAATGAACGAAAGAATCGGGAAGAGACGTCCTAGATGAAAGTTTATCGACCTAATTAGGAATATATTGAAGATGGGCCAGATTAAAGACCAACGAGCATGTATGCGTAAGTATAACGAATGTGTCATATGGAAATCTGTAGTCTCTGCCTTCCCTCTGAGTGACAAGCGTGAGTGTTTATGTTATGTTATATAATATGTTTAGCCCCTGAAGGGGCGACTTTCAATATGGCCGCAAAGATCGACCTATCATATCTGGTGATTTCTACCTCCATTTATTTTGCTATAATTTAAAAAAGTAAAAGCTGTTTGTTTTTTGTTTTCACCTTAAAGCATCATCGGACTTCACTGTATACAAGTTTCGCTCCTTTACAACAAAATTTAATTTCTTCGTTTTTAAAATTATGTAAAAGGACAATGTCCAGAATCGCCCTGTGTAATAAAAGCATCGGACACACACGATAATTAATTTTATATTTTATTATATTAGTTGCAAATACTTTTATAACATGGACTAGCTGCGTGCAAAAATGAACATTAAAAAGTATTATACTCGACTAATAACATTAATCGCCGCCATCTTCGCCAAACATGATGTGGTGTCGAAAAATTATTAGGGATGCCAATTCGATTGTAATCGATTTTTGAATTTTTAATGAACTGTTGTATATTTATTAATCTGAATTACATTTTGAATTGTTTTCGAATAAAGTTGCAAAAAAAAAGCTACAATAAAAATGTTAAATTACCATTTCTTTATATTCTGTTACATTATTCCCTAAAAGTATAATTTAAAACACCTATTATACCTATTGAATGAGGTCATACTCGATTTTGAATAGGTAGTTAGAATAATGCTGAAGAAAATATTCGTAAAGATAATTATTCAGGGTTTTCTAATGATCGTTTAGAACAGAGTGTATTTTACGTCTTACTAAACGATAACTTACGAGTTTACGACAATTAATATTTAAAAAAAAAAACACTTATCGTTACTGCACTAATTTTAAATGTGTTCTTTAAAAAGAGCAATATTGCAGACTAGATACAGATGTTATTATTAATATTGTTACAATTATGGAAGAAGTAGAGACGTTCGTGTTATTATAAGTAAAGTAGAATATTCTCACACTTGTTATGGTATTAATATTATCGTATGACAAAAGATGATGTATTTAATAAAGTATTCATAAATCGTATCGTATTTGGTGTTCCTATTTTTGATGTCATTAAATGGTCACTTGTCACTTGTCAGTCCGTCATAAAAAAAATACGATCTCCAAACCGATTCAAATCGAACATACTAGAACCGATTCGCGATTAAATCAAGCATTAACAGATCTATTTTCGATCAATCGCGACATTTTCAAACATGTCGTAAATACAAGTAACTCACTGTAAGTACAAGTACCGTTAAATTAATAAACATAACATCACGCCTGTATTTTCTAGAAGGAGTAGGTATAGGTGTGTAGTACTGTTATGTTATACGTCCCATGTAATAGAGACTGCGCGTATTGCCAAGCACCGGACACAAATCCAGACTCCGTGCTACTACTGGGAACTTTAAGTTATTAAAACCCAATAATTTGCCCGACCCTGGGATCGAACCCAGAACAGAACAGTTTTTCTGTCTGTCACAAGGAACAGATGTTCCAACTATGTAAAAGTATTTTTTGAATCGTTTGAAATATAGCTAGTTCTTGAATAAGTCCGATTCGAGAGGTTTTTGTATCGACATCGGACAAGGATTCTTCAGATCTATATCGATCTGGAAAATCGATTATTTTACTATAAACAATCGATTAAACGATTTCAAATTGACATGCCTACTTTGTACTGTCATCTCTCATTCTGTCAAAATTACATTGATTGGTTTCGTTTGCAATTGTAATCGTCTTTGTAATTGTATCGGTGTTGTGGTGACTTTCGTAACTATATATTGAACATTACAACTTGGCTATTTTAACGGACTCCGATTGCTTTCAAGAATGACTTACCTTGCTGTGATTTTTGGAACTGTGTACCGCTCAAACGATGACCTAGCATTCATAAATGGACTTACGCATACGCAATGGAAAGTGTATTTTGCGTAAATTGCGGCTCTGGTGGTGGTACAATATTGTTGAAAGATGAATAGAGAAGCAATCGTGCAATATTGCTGTAATTGCATCGTTGTACGCAGAACCATCGGTTGCTGCGCCCATGTTGGGACCATTATTTGGTACTTGAGCTTTACGAGACATCAAAATAATATCGACATACCTGCACAGTATTTAGACAATATTTTAATTTCCAATTTAGAAGATGAACAATAAACATGAAATTAATCTGTGTTTTATTTCCAATTCAAACATAATAAGTTAATGTAGGTGTAAAAACAACTTATACTACCAATTAGGTACTAAGTCGGTAACGCTGGTTTCATAGTCACGCGTTTGAACAGCGTCGTGCAGACGCACACGCTTGCAAATGCACTAGATAGTAGTCGATAATATTCACGCTGTACACGCGCGCGCTGTTGAAACTTGGTTCAAACCATGGTTGATATGCTCGCTGTTTGACGGCATGTCTATCGGTGTGACTGACAGCCTAAATCCTTATACATTTAGGTACCAGGTATCTTACCGTACCGTATATGCTAATGACAACATCTAAATGCTAACAGCCATTATAAACATACATTTTTATTTTTACATTAATACACACAAACCTTATATCTCATTTCAAAACCAATGCTCAGAAAGCAGGTTTGTTAACTAGATTCTATGCATTTATACGTTGCAGTTACATACATTTAGGCTTTGTAACAAAAAATGTATACCTAATTATGTAGATAGGTAATAAAAATGGCTAAATGTTTTAGGACATCGTTTTTCAGTTTGTTAAAAATCACTCGGATCTATGAAAAACCGTAATATTCGTGGTTCGATTATAACCTCAAAATCTGATATTTTTTTGAAATATATCTATTATGCAGCTAGTCCGCTATAAAAATAAGATCAAATAGGAATTTACTGACGATTAACAATAAAATACATAATTTTCCGATGCTCTTGGTTCCAGGGCGAACAATGTATGGGTGCAGAGCAATGTCCTTTGTTAATTTGACTTTTTATTCGAATTTGACTTTGATAATTTACACACAGGCTGACGACAAACAAAATACCCATGTGGATATATTAAAACGCGATGTATGCGGCAAGCGAAGTTTTTTATTTTTAGTCATTATAAGTAAGACGCTGCTGCCCATCTCCTGATGTGTTTTCCTCTGTCGCCTCTTAGGAGACCCTCGGGATAATATGTGGTAGTGGATATTCTTACACTGCCAGTACTCAGTAAATATGTGTGTGTGTGTGTGTGTGTGTGTGTGTGTGTGTGTGTGTGTGTGTGTGTATGTGTGTGCGTGTGTATGTGTGTGTGTGTGTGCTGTGGGTACCTTGTCGGGCAGCTGCAGGTCCCGCAGCCGCTGCACCTGCGGGATGCGCAGCGCGTCGTGCTGCTCGTCGCTGTGCTGCTCGTGCTGCTCGCGCTGCTCGTTCTGCTCGTGCTGCGCGTCGTGCTGCACGTCGTCGAGAGCGACGCGCACGCCGCCAGCCTCCGCTAAAGCGTCCACCGCCTCGATGCCGAGACGACACGCCTCCTCTTTACTTAGCCCCTGCACCACCACACGAAATATTCAATTATTTCTATTCCATGTTCAAGTCATATGTACTACATACTAGAACAGACACCGAGACACAATCTGTGCGGCAGTACGGGCCGCGGTCATCCAACCATATTTCGATGTTTCTTCTATTATATAGTAACTGTTGGGAGAAAGATAGTCTATCTGTGAGTTTCTTGTCGCTTCTCACAAGGTCTCCCCGAATTAGGCACTATTGAAAGAATAACGGGGATAGGGAAGTGTAGCATTAGACTTTTAAAAAGTACTATATAAAAACTAATTTTGAATAAAATATGACTTTGACAAATATGGAGTATAGAGATAGACAAGTTGCGCTGGAATATCATAGGATTATCCGAGGTTCGAAGAGAGGGGGAGGACACGGTAATCCTCGAATCCGGCAACTTGTTTTATCACCAGGAGGGCGACCATCTGTCCCAAGGAGGTGACGGATTTATCGTCCATGTCTCTCGTTAACAACGTTGTAAAGATTGGGAGTGTGTCGACGAGGGTTGCGTACCTTATACTCAGAATCACCAAACGGTATTCGCTGAAGGTCATACAGGTTTACGCACCAACCTCGGCACACCCCGATGAGGAGGTGGAAGAAATGTATGAGGATATCTCTAGAGCCATGCATTCCTCCAAAACCCACTATACGGTGTTAATGGGCACAAACAAAACTAGGCACAAGAGAGAACGGTGAGCTGCAAGTAGGAAAATTCGGTAAAGGGGCAACGGAACCCAAGGGACCAGCAGCTGGCCGAATTCATGGAGAAAGAGGCACTCTTTATGATAAAATCTTTCTTCCAGAAGCGGCCCCACAGGAAGTGGACCTGGTCGAGCCCCGTAGGTTCGACAAAAAATGAGATTGACTTTATTATGACGACCAGACGACAACTGTTCACTGATGTCTCAGTGATCGCGAAGGTGAAAACCGGCAGCGATCACCGAATGGTGAGAGGCACACTAAACCTAAACATTAAGTTGGAGAGGTCACGTCTAATGAAGTCAACGCTCCGTCCCCCTCGTGCTCTAATGCAAAGTCCCGAAACCTTTCAGCTCGAGCTACGAAACCGTTTTCAGTGCCTAGAAGACTGCAATGCAGTGGACGATATAAATGACAAGCTCGTGGAAACTGCCCATGCGGTCGGAGCTAAGTTTTGCAAGACCCGCCGCAGAAGAACACAAAAACTCTCCGATCACACTCTTAATCTCATGGCTGTTAGAGGGGATATGAAGCTGCAGTCTTCAGTAGATTTGACAACATACAGGCAACAGAACAAACAGATCTCTCTAAATGCATGCGGCGGGACTTACGCAACTTTAATACTGCTCGTATTGAAGAAGCGATCGAGCGGAACCAAGGCTCCAAAGTCTTTGCTAGAGATCTGTCTGCCAGAAAGAGCCAACTGTCGAAGCTGAAGACCCAGTGTGGCAGCGTCGTTTCCGGGACACCTGAGATTTTGAGTGAGATTGAGAGTTTCTATGGGCAGCTGTACACATCATCATTGGAGCCACACGTAAGTGTGAGTAACGATCCAAGAGCGAGTCTTATCCGACACTATTCCGATGATATCCCGGACGTCAGTCTGAGCGAGATTAGAATGGCTCTCCAGCACCTTAAAAACAGCAAGGCCCCAGGCGAGGATGGAATTACAGCGTAGCTTCTGAAAGCAGATGGAAAACCGGTACTTGAAGTCCTTCAGAAGCTCTTTAATTCCGTCCTCAATGGTGACATTACACCTGAGGCGTGGAGCAGAAGTGCGGTGGTCTTGTTCTTCAAGAAAGGTGACAACGCGCTCTTGAAGAACTACAGACCGATTTCGTTTCTGAGCTGCGTCTACGTGCTGTTTTCGAGAGTCATTACGAATCGTCTCGCGCGCAGACTTGACGACTTCCAGCTTCCCGAACAAGCCGGTTTCCGAAAAGGCTTTAGCACCATGGACTACATACATACCCTTCGGCAAATTGTACAGAAGTCCGAGGAATACAATTTGCCACTATGTCTGGTGTATGTGGACTATGAGAAAGCCTTTGATTCCGTCGAAATTTGGTCGGTGCTGCAGTCCCTTCAGCGATGCCCGGTTGACTGTCGGTATGTCGAAGTGCTGAAGTGTTTGTACAGTAGGGCTACGATGGCTATCCGAGTACAGAACCAGAGTACGAAACCTATTCAATTGCAGAGAGGTGTAAGATAGGGTGACGTTATATCCCTGAAACTCTTCACCGCTGCATTGGAAGACGTTTTCAAGCTTCTGGACTGGAAAGGATACGGTGTTAACATCAATGGCGAGTACATCACTCACCTTCGATTTGCCGACGATATAGTCCTTATGGCAGAATCGCTGGAGGACCTAAGCACTATGCTCAATGACCTCAATAGTGTTTCCCAACGGATAGGTCTTAAGATGAACATGGACAAAACAAAGATCATGTTTAATGTCCATGTCATACCTATGCCGGTAGTTGTTGGGAGCACTATGCTCGAAGTTGTTCACGAGTATGTTTACCTGGGACAAATAGTCCGACTAGGTAAGTCCAACTTCGACCGAGAGGTCAATCGGCGGATTCAATTCGGTTGGGCAGCGTTCGAGAAATTACGGCACATCTCGTCAGGTACACCTCATAACTTGAAAACGTGACTGTACAACCAGAGCGTGTTGCCAGTGATGACCTATGGAACTGAGACGTGGTCATTCACTGCTGGCCGCATGAGGAAGCTCAAGGTCGCTTAGCGAGCTATGGAGAGGGCTATGCTCGGAGTTTCTCTGCGTGATAAACTTAGAAATAAGGATATCCGCAGTAGAACCAGAGTGACCGATATAGCCCAACGGATTAGTAAGCTGAAGTGGCAATGGACCGGCCATATAGCTCGAAGAACCGACAACCGATGGGGAAAAAAGGGTCTCGATTGGCGGCCTCGTATCGGCGGACGAAGTGTAGGGTGTCCCACCACTAGATGGAGTGACGACCTGGTAAGACATGCAGGAAGTCGATGGATGCAGGTAGCTCAGGACCGTGCTTTATGGCATTCCTTGGGGGAGGCCTATGTTCAGCAGTGGACTTATGAAAGGCTGTAATGATGATGATGATGATATAATATGGAGTATTGCCGCCAAGATTGATGCTGCAAAATGCCATCCAGCAGCTATGTCCTATTGAAAAGACGGGCTAAGAGTATCTGGTTAAAACCAATCTTAGCAAGGTCTGGCTACCTTGCACAGTCGAAAATTAACCAGCCTTTCGGTATTCTATAAAATACATTTCGGAGTAAGCGCAAGAAATTTTATGTCATTTGTTATCCGTATAGCAAAAGAGTGAAATAATTTCGCAACATCTATCTTTCCATCTGATAACAATGCTGGTTTCTTCAAGAGCGAAAAGGCTTTGGTTAAGCTCAGTCAGTGCGTTTTACCATCTTCCGCTACATCACCACTTACCTTCAGGTAACATAGTTAGTCACGCACTGGCATATAAATAATTTCAATTTAAAAAAGCTTGGAAAATCCAAAAGCGCACTACTCATAATGCTCATATGATCGTGAAAAAAAAATGTAAATTGTAGTTCTATTCGTCAGAGTTCCAGTAGCAGCCACCGAAGTACACTTTCAAGTTACTCCGTCAAGTCCGGGGTCATCATAACTAACATAACGAGCACCATCTGGCAACACCTAGTTCTATTCGTCGAGGAGTTCCAGTAGCAGATACCGAAGTACACCTACAGATCACTCCATAAAGTACAAGACGTATCATCATCATCATTACAGCCTTTCACAAGTCCACTGCTGAACATAGGCTCCTAAGGAACTCCACAAAGCACGGTCACGAGCCACCTGCATCCATTGACTTCCTGCATGTCTTACCAGGTCGTTACTCCATCTAGTGGGGAGACGCTCAACTCTTCGCCTGCCGGTACGTTTAAGTATATTTATATATAAATCCTACGTACTTTTAGTGAAACAAAATATTGTAATAAAATAATAATCTTGATCAAGTATGTATCAAATTTGGGTTTTTGGAATATTTTATATTTTTTTTATATTCTACTAAGCTAGCGCTTATCTACGATCCCACCTGATGGTAAGTGGTGATGTAGCCTAAGATAGTGAAGCGCACTGACTTAACAAAATCCTATTCACTCTTGCCTTGAAGACACCCACACTGTAATCGGATGAAAAAACAGGTGCTGGCAACTTATTCCACTCCTTTGCTGTACGCATGATGAACGACGTGGCGAATCGTTTGGTTCGGATGCGTGGTAAGTCAACAACGTAAGGATGGAAACGTTAGTCGCCATAGGATCGGATGAGCAGCCATCGACGACGACCCGGAGAGACCGTTCACTCAGAAAGTTCTTTACCCATTCAATCAGACCAGCTTACCCAAAAGGCTAGTGTGCCAAACTCTGTCAAAGGCTTTCGAGACATCAAGGGAAACAGCAAGTGCTTCCCCACTGTTCTCGAGTGCCTCGCCCCATACGTATGTGGCATACGCTAGAAGGTCCACCCCAGCTGACCGATTTCGGCGAAACCCATATTGCCGGTCACTAAGAAGGTCATTCTGTTCTAGGTATGCCATTAAGCGGGCGTTCAATATACACTCCATAATCTTGCAGGGTATGGAGGTGATGAGATTGGCCGATAATTGGTAGGGTCGCCACGGCTGCCATTTTTGGAACATGCTGCACGTAAGCCCGCTTCCAAGATTTTGGCACTATTCCAGTCGTAAATGAAAGGGGGAACAAGTGTGTCAGCACAGGAGACAACTCAGGCGCACAAGCCTTTAGAATTATAGCTGGTATACCACCTGGTCCACTAGCTTTATTCACGTCTAGACCCCGCAAGGTTTTAAGAATCTCCTTATTTGTTATACGAACCTCCGACATACAGGTCCCACAGTGAGGTAATTTAGGTGGAACGTTGTTGCCACTGTCCAGACGTGAATTATAGGCAAAGAGAGACGCGGACAGGTCCGCTTTTTCTTTAGCC